ATGTAAAAACTATCACATATGAAACTTCACACTTCGTGGCAGTGGTGGTGGATATGTGTTTCAGAAATACTCTAAAAGTATAGTGTCTCTGAAGATATGAGGATTTTATTCGAGCAGGATAGTAGTTATTCCAATTTGTATCTCCATCAGTAATATAAAAATGTGCCTGATTTCTGATTTCTCTCACCATGTGCTAACAAGGTTTTTTTTTTTTCTAATCTGATATCTTTTTAAAAATATATCATAGCATGGCTTTAGTTTGTGTTTCTCTTGTGAGGTTAAATTAAATAGTCTTTTTGTAGGCTAAGTCCTATTCCTATAGTGTGTGTGTGTGTGTGTGTGTGTGTGTGTGTGTGTGTGTGGCTCTCATGTAGTCCAGTCTGGTCTCAAATTTGCTGTATAAATAAGGCTGACTTTGAACTTCTGATCCTCTTGCCTCCACTTCCCCAATGCTGGGATTACAGCCCAGCTGTATGTGCTTGTAAAAGATTTTTTTTTTGTAAAAGTTTATGTAGCTAAATTTGTCACTCTTTCTGGGTTTTAGTTTTATGTCATTGTTAGCCTGAGAGTTTCTTTTAATTCTCTATGATTTATTCTAGAGCTTTTCTTTCCCCTTTTAACACTTAAAGTTTTGAACTGTTTGAAATTGGCCATGGTATTAAGCAAAGGACTAATTCAATTTGTTTTCTAGATGACTCCCCAGTTTAACCAATACTTACTGATTATGTCTTCTATAAATCAAAACATCTACCTTTTAATCATAAACTCTTTCCCTCAGAACTGAGTTCTAGAATGAGAACATATTACTTAGTCATGTCAAATTTGGATCTCCCTAATAGCCAGGTTTCTTAAGAATGAAATTACAGAGCTTATTGTTTTATTTCCTTTTTTTTCTTTCTTTCTTTCATTCTTTCTTTCTTTCTTTTTTTCTTTCCTTCCTTCTTTTTGGTTTTTCAAGACAGGGTTTCTCTGTGGCTTTGGAGGCTGTCCTGGAACTAGCTCTTGTAGACCAGGCTGACCTTGAACTCACAGAGATCCACCTGCCTCTGCCTTCCGAGTGCTGGGATTAAAGGTGTGCACCACCAATGCCCGGTGAGCTTATTGTTTTCTATTTAAAATATATAGCAAATTTCTGAGAGTGCATTATCCAAATATCAGTGTGTGGGACTTAGAGCAAAAGAAAGGAATTCAGAGCCCTGTGTGGTGGCTTATGCCTGTAGGCCCAGTACTTGGGAGGCTGATGCAGGAGAATTGCTGTGAGTTTGAGAACAGAAAAACCAGAGAGCCTGTCAAGAAAGAAAACGAGGGTAGGGGGTGGGGGAAGTGGAGAAGGATGGAAGGGAAAGGAAAATAGATTCAGTGAAAATATGCTAAATTCTCATTACTTGAGTCAGATGCTTTTCAAAATGTTCTTCTTTCTCTTGTGGAAATATTTTGGTAAAGTGGAAAGAATACTGGCCTAGAAGGCAGGAACCTCATGATATGGTTTTGTTTGTTGTCTGTTTGTTTCAGGCTGGTCAACTCATAATTAAAAATCACTGTGACCAATAATAATCGGAAACATTTAGCACATAGTATAGTCCAAGCAACACTCTATCTAAGAGCTTATTAATCATTCAGTCTGTGCAATTAATAAAAGTCTGGGTAATCTGTTATGAATTATATAAACATTAGATATTGTTACTCATAAAAATGTCAACAGGCTCGGTCAGCTTATTGAAATCAAACTCAGGAACGAAGCCAACATTGTCGTGAGCTATGCCCATGCTGTAAAGTAGAAGCTTGAGAGCTGCAGACAGCCGGGGCTCAGCGCCTTCCCTTTTGCCTTCAGGTTTGCAAGCCTGTGCATGTGCAGCAGTCTCCTTCTCAGTGCCCTCCTCCTAGTGCTCATGTGTACACTTTCTTGCTTTGCTTTGGTTTGTGGGGTTTTGTTTTGTTTTATTTTTGAGACTGGGTTTCACTTTGTAGCCCAAGATGGTTTCTAATTGTGGATCCTTTTGCCTCAGCTTCCAAAAGCTTGAAAACCACAGGTTTTTCACCCCCAGAGTTGAATTTATTTTTTCCTTTTCTTTCATTCTGTTTTTTTGTTTGTTTGTTTGTTTTTGAGATGGGTCTGACTTATGTGCCCTGCCAGGCCTAGAACTTGCTATGTAGTCCAGGGTAGCCTCAAAATCATAGAGAACCATCTGTCTGTGCTTCCTGAGTGCTGAGATTAAAGGTAGAATCACCATGCCCCAGCTTAGAGATGAATGTCTTGATGGCAGGGCCTGTGCATGACTTCCATCTACATTTTTACATATAATGCTATTATATCCTATTTTGGTGAAAGTTCAGAACCTCATTAATGATTAGAGGCCTGGCAACTGATAAAACTAATGTGCTCAAAGATTGTAGTTCTCTTTGAATGTGTATGAAGCTCAACTCACAGTAATGGCATAGAGCCTATTTTAAAAGTATGTTGTACAGAATGAAGAAAACTGGGCATTTTTCTGAATGCTGCATCTCCCGCTTTGCTGATTTGGTTGGTTTAGAGATAGGGCTTCACTGTGTTGACCAGAAACACGAGCTTCAAACTTACAGGCAGTCAGTCCTCTTCCCTCAGTCTGTCAAGTGCTAGAATACAAGTATGCATCACTGCGCCTGACCAAATTTTGCATTTGGTGTCAGGAGGGGGGTGGGTTCTGGGGATTGAGCCTTGATTTTTTTTTATTATTATTTTTTCTTGGGGCAGAATCTCATGTCACTCAGGCTGATCCTAAACTTTCTATGTACCCAAGGATGACTTTGAAATTTAATCTTCCTGCCTCTACCTCTTTTTTCAAACTTTTATTCTCTTTTCATACATTACACCCTCACCTCAGTTTCCCCTCCCTGCACTCTTCCCAATCCCTTCACCCACTTCCTCTCCTCCCAGATCAATTCCTCATCTTCCCCGCCCCCCCAAAAGAGCAAGCCTCCCAGGGATATCCACTGAATGTGGCATAACAAGACACAATAAGACTGGGCACAAACCGTCATATCAAGGCTGCATGAAGTGACCCAGTAGGAGGAAAAGGGTCCCAAGAGCAGACAAAAGAGTTAGAGACATTCACCTGCTGCTACTGTTAGGATCCCACAAGAACACCAAGCTACACAGCCATAAGGTACACGCAGAGGACCTAGCTCAGATCCATACAGGGTCCGAGACTGTCACTTCACTCTCTGTGAGCTACTGTCAGCCCTGCATAGTTGATTCTGTGGGCAGTGTTCTCCTGTTGTCCTTGATTCACTCTGCTTCCTACAATCCTTCCCCCTCTTCTCTGGGGTTCTCTTGTTTCTGCCTAGTGTTTGGGTGTGGGTCTCTGCGTCTGCTCCCACAAAGTTGCTGGATGACACCCCTCTGATGACAATTGGACTAAACACCAATACATGAGTGAGTATAGCAGAATATCATTAGGCATCATTTCATTGACTTTTGTTTTCCAGTTGTGTTGGGTTTTACCTTGTGTTTCTCTGGTCAGCCTCTGGTTCCTGGCCATCCAGACAATGTCAGGCATGATTTCCCTCTCTTAACATGGGCCTCCAGTTGGACCTGTCATTGATTGGCCACTCCCACAAATTCTGTGCCACCATTGCCCCCAGCACATCTTGTAGGCAGGACAGATTGTAAGTTGAAGGCTTTGTGACTACGTTGATGTCGCAGTCCCACTGCAAAGATCCTTGCCTGGTTACAGAAGAGAGTACTGGGAGACATGACTGGAACTGGGGAGATTTGGAGGGGAGGATGATGAAGAAACCTGGTACAGTGGAAACTCCCTGCTTCTGCTTCTTCAATGCTGGAATTATAAATAAGGAGACTGAAGCCAGTGTTTTGTGCATGCCAGGAAGACACTCTACCAGCTGAGCCACATCCTCAGCCCATGCATTTTTATGGCACTTTTAGGAGGCTTGCTAAATAAGAATATTGACTACAATGAGATTAGGAAATAAAAGCAGAAACATCACATTTGACAGACAGACTTCTACAGCTACAGCTACCTGGAACATAGTCAAGAAGCCCAGAAGGGATCCTAAAAATTCTCTGAAGTTGGAAAAAAGCAGTTCTCATGAAGCCTGTGTAACTTCACATGCGAGTAGGAGAATGGTGCTGCATGTGTCAAAGAGTACTATTGACTTGGTATTTTCAAAGAAAATGCCAAGAATTGCTTTGCAAGTATAGTCATTCAGCTCCCAGACATCTTGGGTGGCTTGGTTACAGTAGGAAAAAAGGATTAACAGAACCATCTTCCCCATACTTTGACACAGCTCTAAATAAATCATTACTAACGCCAGTGTAAAGGCGATTCTTAAGTTTTCTACAAGAAATAGTGAAATTTTTTAGTTTTTTTTTTAAATGAGTGTATGTGTATGGGTATGTTCATATGTGTGTGGGGGTGGGGTGGTTACCTCAGGAGGCCAAAAGATGACATCAGATCCGCTGAAATTAGAGTTCCAGGTAGTTGTGAGTCATCTGATGTGGGTTCTGAAAACTACACTCTGGTCCTCCAAAAGAGCAGGAAGTACTCTTAACAACTGAGCCATCTCTCTAGACCCAACTTTGGCTCCCAGCACCCACGTAGACCACTTATAACTCCAACTTCAGGAAAGATAGATGGACAGACAGACAAATACACACACACATAAAAATCAAATTTTAGGGTCTGAGGAGATGACTGCTCTTCCAGGGGATCTTGGTTTAATTTCCAGCACCAACAGTGTCTCAGCCTCTCATAGCTGGCCTGGAACTCACAAGAGATCTCCCCGCCTCTGCCTTCTGAGTTCTCGATTAAAGGTGTGCACCACCACACCCAACCTGCTTTAATTTCTTCTTCTTCTTCTTCTTCTTCTTCTTCTTCTTCTTCTTCTTCTTCTTCTTCTGGCCTGACATCAAGCATCTTCACCCGCTGAGCCATCTTGCTGTTACCTAAATATGCTTTTTTTGTGGAGTGATGATAGATTAGTGAAAATTGGTATCATGCAGTTTCTTTTTCTCATTTCTAGATTGCAAAAATGCTTTGGAGTTTTTAACTGAATCTAAGAAAGTCCAAAATAGATTTGAGACTGTAAAGGCGGAAGCTGCAGCGAGGGGGACTCAGTGCCAATGCATCAACAAAAAAGACAACCAGAGTTAGTGGAAGGAAATCTTCCTGTTTTTGTGTTTCCCACGGAGCTGATATTTTACGCAGATGATCAGTCAACACATAAGCAAGTGTTGACGCTGTACAATCCCTATGAGTTTGCCTTAAAGTTCAAAGGTGAGTCGCCTAGGTTTGGAATTTTTAACCACTTCCTACTAATTTCTTACTTGTAAAAATGAATTGATTTAATCAGACTAGTGACATTGTGACTTTTTCTTTCAGTTTTATGTACGACTCCAAATAAGTATGTTGTTGTTGACGCCGCAGGTGCAGTGAAGCCTCAGTGCTGTGTGGATATGTAAGTCAGACTCACTCCTGTAACATGCTCTCAGTGCTGTGTGGATATGTATGTTTGGACTTTAAAATGGTCCCTTCTCAAAGTGATACCTAAGTAGGTATTTCTGTTTTGTTTTGTTTTGTTTTGTTTTGTTTTATTTGAGGCTGAAAGTTTATCAAAATTTAAGAAGTTTCTGAAAGATTCTATATAAGGCAATCAAATATTTTGGACAATCAAATACAATTTAGACCAGCATTTTCTTTAATAATTCCTCATTGTTTTAGTTGGGGCAGTGATGTTTATGGTCAAGTTCTGGCTTATTCCTTGAAACTTCCCCAGCAGTAATAGAGAATTTAGCTTTCTTTGAGACATCCTGCTATTATAGTGACATTTGTGAAATGAATAATACTATATTCTAGAACAATAGCAGCATAAGATCATCTGAAAGGACTCAGCTAATAAGCCTGGGGTTGAATTGAAACAGGAAGCAAGTGTGTCTACTTGCTCATCTAGAAGAGGCTGAGTGCTTCCAAAGAGTTTTGCTTCAAAGTGTCAGATGAACGATTGTGCAAGATGTTCCTATTGAATTTGTACTTTAGAAACTAGTAGTGGCCAAGTGAATCCACTAGCCAGCCCTTAATTTAAACTACCATGTCAGCTGTCGTTAGCCCTTCTATGAGAGGCAGCTCTTTCCTCCTCAGTGTGTTTTCCCCAGCTCAAAGCAACACCTTTGTCAAACCTCAGCTCCACAGATATTTACAGTACATTCATAACAGTAGCAAAATTGCAGTTATTAAGTAGCAACGAAATAGTGTTCTGTTGGAGGTCACTACAACATTCAAGGGTCTTACACGGCTTTAGGAAGGTTAAGAGCGACCACCACAGGCCATGCGGCTTGTTTTTTTTTTTTTCAACTTTTGAGACAGGGTTTCTCTGTGTAACAGTCCTGGCTCTTGTGGAACTCGCTCTGTAGACCATGCTGGCCTCAAACGCACAGAGTTCCGCCTGCATCTGCCTCCCGAGTGCTGGGATTAAAGGAGTCAGAACCTGGCAGGTGATGTGTCTTTTTAAGAACATGTTTTTTGCACATTTCTTTGGGTTGTCATTTAGTACACAATAAGCCAGGGTATTCCAAAGAAATGTTCTCTTATCAAATAAACACATTGACCTAATTGTTTTTTCATTCCCTTGGAAGAACCAGGCACAATAAAGGGAAGATTTCTTACTTCAAAAACAAATAAGTAACAATGGGAATTTATTATGTTTGTGCAGAAGAAACTATTTTATGTGTTCCAATTTAGGAAAGAAATCATTAACAGATGTATAGAAAAAACACTGCTAAAGGCAATTTCCTTTATCATTCTTTTACTTGAGACTTTGATTTTTGGCAGAAGCCATAGCTCAATAGAAGACTCCTTGCTTATTCAGCCTGTTTGAAGCCCTGGATTCAATCTTCAGCCACACACACACAGAAGACTTTTATCCTGTGTTTCAGACTGTCTGCTTTCTTTCTTTTTTCTTTTTCTTTTTTTTTTGGTTTTTCGAGACAGGGTTTCTCTGTGTGGCTTTGGAGCCTATCCTGGCACTTGCTCTGGAGACCAGGCTGGCCTTGAACTCACAGATATCTGCCTGCCTCTGCCTCCCGAGTGCTGGGATTAAAGGCGTGTGCCACCAATGCCCGGCAGACTGTGTGTTTTCATCTACCAGTTCACAATTGCTCCTTTTCTTCCTTAGGCTATATAATTTTTTTCAGTGTAATTAGCAAATTTTGAGTTTTTAGTTATAGTCTGAAACATTATTTTTACCCTATTGAAATTTCTGATGCCTTCTGTTTGACAGGCCCCTGAAAACCTAAACGTATTATTTTGCTGTTTTCAGTGTGATTCGTCATAGAGATGTTCGATCCTGTCACTATGGTGTGATAGACAAATTCCGCCTCCAAGTCTCAGAGCAAAGCTAGAGGAAGGCTGTAGGAAGGAAAGAGGTTATCGCTACTCTTCTCCCATCCGCGAAAGAACAACAGAAGGAAGAAGAGGAGAAAAGAATAAAGGAACATTTAACCGAAAGTGTATTCTTTGAGCAGTCATGTCAACCAGGTATTGTTTTGAAAGCCTTATACATTTCCAACTGTAATCATGGATCTAAGACTAACTACTACTAAGACAACCACTTGCAGCCTAGTCAGCAAATGAAGATGCAGGGAAGAAAGGAGTGCCTGCTACAGTAGGTAGGAGGAGCACACAATTGCCATGCTAGGCTTTGAAATGTTGGAAATGCCATATATCTCCAATATATATAAACTTAAAGAATGCAGCTACAAACTTTATAATACCAGCACAATTTAGCAGTTATATGCTATTGCTTCTATGACTTTCCTATATCCTTTTTGATTTAATTAGTTTGAAGTAGGAGACAGGTTCATTTTGGCAATAGGCCAAGCTTAGTGTGCTGTTCATATTATTTTGAAAAAAAAAATCTCATTAAAGTTGAAGTTAATTAAACTAAGTAGATTATAATATCCCCTGTGGGCTATTAATTGAATCCCTCTCCATTCCTCATTTCCTTCCAGCTTAGATACTCAGGATCACTATGATATATATTTTCAACAATGACACTCTCCTCAGATCCAACTTTAGACACCATTCCCACTTCCTCCCAACTTCTAATTATTGTCCTTCTATCCCGTTAGAAGAGTAGGGAGACAAAAGTTTCCAAAGAAAAAGGTCTTTGCAGAGAGTGATATATGAATGTGAACCAGCCGTCTATAAAACTGAAATGCAAAAGTCAGGAGTGGTGGGTGAAGCAGGAGGATGGCCATAAGGGCTCCCTATTTAGACTCTATCAAAACGGAAAAAAGTGGCGCAGTAGTAGAGCATGTGCCCAGCTTGAGCAAGGCCCTAGATCCCATCCCCAACAAAAACAAAGACAAACATTTTGTAAATAATAGTACACGTATATGAAATTAAAATAAAACTAAAAAGTAAATTAAAACAAAGATAAAATGGAAAGAAATTGAAGCTTATATTGGGGATATTTTACAAATGTATTTGTCATTGTATCAACTCATATATCAATATGTTCGTCTTCAAATATTTATTTTAGATGACAGCAAATGCTATTTTTTTGAGGTGGTTCTGCAGTTTTTCCCATCTGTACATAGAGTGCCTAGACTTTCTGCTTAATAACAGGACTACGACTAGGTATTAGTTTCCTAGCAGAAATTGTTCATTGACAGGACCATCTTTTTATCTTTTGATGAAAGAGAGCATTTGACTGGTGTGGTACCCCAGGCCTTTAATCCTAGCCCTTGGTAGGTGTCAAATGTCAGGGGACAACTTGTAGGATGAGGTTCTTTCGTTCCACATGTAAATCCCAGGGATGGAGCTGAGGTCATCAGGCTTGGCAGCAAGACCCTGTGCTACTCACTCAGCCATCTTTCTGGCAGGCAGCCTGTGCTACATACAGAGTTTAAGGCCAGCCTGGTCCACATGAGAAACTGTCTCCCACAAAAAAACAATAAAAACTACATAGCAACAACATAAATTTAAAAAGAGCCCAGCTTGAGCAAGGCCCTAGATCCCATCCCCAACAAAAACAAAGACAAACATTTTGTAAATATAGTACACGTATATGAAATTAAAATAAAACTACAATTTCATACACTTAACAAGTTGGCTTGTGCATATGAAAATATAGTTTTATATTTTGTGGATCTCTTCATGTAATAAACAGAAACTATAAAATTAAGAAAAATACACAAATATTATGCTTTCATAAAATACTGTCCAAGGTTATTTAAGACATTTTAAAAGATAGAACTGAATATTGGTAGATTTTTTTTAATTACTTACGTTAATAATGAACTGCAAATGCTTTGTGACACACTTGAGTCTGTGCCTTCTGGCTTCAGAAAATTATGTTCTGTATTATTGTTCTTAGTTTTGTTTGTAACAATAAGAAACTGAAAGTGAGCTGAGAACCATCATTTGAGAATTGATTAAACTATGACTGTTAATGAAAAGGAATTTGAGACAGGCCTTTACAAGGATCTGTTAGAATGAAGTTTGTATACTTAGTGGCAGAAGTTTCAAATATAGGGCTGGCGAGATGCTTCAGCAGTTCAGAGCACTTGGTGCTCTTCTAGAGAACCTAGGTTTGAATTCAAGCACCCACATGGTGGCTCACAACTGTCCGTAGCTCCAGTTCCCGAAGATCTGACACCCTTTTCTGGCCTCCATAGGCACCAGGCACACATGTGGTGCATCGACATCCATACAGGGCAAAACACTCATATATGTAAAATAAAAGTAATTAAATCTTTTCAAAAGTTTCAAGTACATTAGCAAAGGGGGAAAAGCAGTTGTGTAACATATGCTGTTTATGTAAAATTGTACATTTTTGTCTTTGCATGTGTAAGATGGGGGGGCATTTTTGTGTGGATGCAGGTGTACACGTGACACAGTATATGGAGGGGTCAACCTCAGGTATCAGTCTACCTTGTTTGAGGCAGGGTCTCTTATTCACAGCTGTGCTCATCAGCTCTCTGCCTCCCCTCTTGCTGTTGGAATTACAGACAAATTTGCGGTGTCCAGCTTCATGTAGGCTCCAGGGATTTCAACTCAAAGTCCTCACATTTGGTATAAAGCAAGCATTTCATCCATGGAGCCCTCTTTGCAGCCCCTATATTACATTTGTAAAATTGGAAAGTTGTCAGTAGTGCTATCTGTAGGAAAGCATGATGGAGGACATTGGTTTTGTCTTTATTATTTTTCTTTGCAATAGGGTTTTACTCTGTAGACCCAAGTTACTGCTGATCTTCCCGCGTCTATCTCCCAAGTACAATTATAGTTGTGAGCTACCACACCCAGCTCGTATTTTCCAAGGCTAGCCTCAAATGTACTACTAGCTGCTATGTAACTCAAATGGTCTGCAATTTACTATGTAGACCAACCTGGCCTTGAACTTTAAGCAGTCTTCCTGCCTCTATCTCCCAAGTGCTTGGATTACAACTGTTCACCAACATACCTAGATCTTTGAAATTATGTTTATTTTAATTTGCAGTGAATGGGGTAGTTATCATTTTCCTTAAAATCAATTTTGCAATGGATATAAATACAAAGTTATTTTGCTTACGAACTAAGGGCTTTTAAAGTTATTTATGCTATTGTTTCATCCCAAGCAATCATTACTATGAAATTTGACTTTGTTTTACCTATTTGGCTTTGGTGAAGTTCAATTAAATTTCACAATAGCTAATGTATTAATAAATTAGAAAATTTCCACTTAATAATAGAATGAACAGCATTATTTCATTAATAAAACACAAATTGTGTTGCTCTTGGCTATTCCTTTTAATGAAAGGAAGATTAGTGGGAAAAGGTACATGGTAGAAAAATGCTGTTACTAGATTATTAGTCAGGGTTCTCTAAGGAACACAATTGATAGAATGAACTAATATATATGTATATATATTCACATTCTTTATATTCTTATG